CGAGTTACAGTATATATTGGACAAGTAAAGAAAAAGTGAAAACTATCCTCATTTTGCTAGTCCACATGAGCATATCGGACTTTCTAAAATGTATCTTTCATATTTGTGAGCATTGAGGTCACTGCAGCCAAATAAACCCTCCTACACATCTACAAAACATTTATCATGTACACACTGGAGTGAGTGGTTCCCGTCCTTCTCTATCCCCAACTAAACTCCTTACAATATATAAAAAATGCCATAGGTGCAAAGACTAGTACCTACTAGATAGCAGTTACTAGAAGAAACCAAATTACTCAATAACTACCAGACTGGGTCTGAAAACAAAATATCAAAACACCAAACAAAAATAGGCACCCTTAAATTCAGAATAAACCCTTTAAAACATCCCTATCCAGCCACACATTACAGTGTAAACTCGATTATCCAGACTAACTCACAATGTCAAGGCCACACACCGCACGTTTTACAACCAAAACATAAACACCGTACCCTGCCTCCCCAGCCCTACTTTTTAACATTTAACCCCTTTTCATCTATTTAGTAGACTCCTTATTAGCTTATCAGCAACAGTTGAACTGTTCTGCACAATAAGTCACAATATACTTTACACTACTTACTTAGTTGAACTTATACGCAATCAAGTTCCCAACCCTCTTACGTCCAACTTCTCAACTCCCCATCTAAACTAAATTATCTTCAATATGCAGGTGTTTTATGATATAGTGCTTTATTCCCCAAGTGATAATTATATTACGTTTTTGTTAAACACACCTATCACGTCGGTCGATGACTTGTGGCACTGTCTCAAGTAGATAGTTGGGATATGGGGACAGACAGACATATAAGTATGTAGACAAGCCATTCTTGTAGAAGTATGGGAGACGATGGCACATACATTTAGAACAATACCTTTTTCACATAATAGTGGAAATATATATGTGTGAAATAGGCACACATAAAAAAGACCAGATGAAAGGCACAGGGTGTATGAAATTCCATCACTGATACAATAAAGCCCGACGGGGAGTTCGTTTGGTTGGTTTGTTGTTTAACACCGGACTGAAACACGATGTTACGGAGTATATTCTTATCCTTCATCAGGTAAATGAAGAGACTAGAAACTAGGAAGAGAAAGCTAAAGACGTACATTTGAAACAACAGTGCTAAGATAACAAGGGAAGCCAGTACTTAATTAACGCTAAATTGGTAGGGTGGATGGACAAATGGAAGCCAGGGATTGTTAATCCCGGCATGAATAATGAGATAACAATGGTAGCATTTAACAAGGGAAATGACAATAAAGAAATGCAAGCCAGGAATTAATCCAAGCCTAATTAGTGATTAGTGATAAATTAAATGATTGTTATCCTTTTTACAGACTTTTTAAGAGCGCTCATTTATTTCAACGAAAACACACTCGGTTTCTGGTGTTATTGTTGGATTATTGTTTGGACAAGTCAAAGGATTAATTACAAAAATGCCACAGAATTCGAAAGCATGTTCATTTTGTTTCTATACGATTAAACCAAATGACAATAAAGCCTCCTGTTGGATTAAATCATACGCAGGTTAGACGTCATGTGCAGACAGGGCAGAATTATGTGAAATATCGCTTTCTCGCTCTATCGCTTTCTCGCTCTATCGCTTTCTCGCTCTATCGCTTTCTCGCTTTCTCGCTCTATCGCTTTCTCGCTCTATCGCTTTCTCGCTTTCTCGCTCTCTCGCTCTATCGCTTTATCGCTTCTATCTCTATCGCTTTATCGCTATCGCTTTCTCGCGCTTTATCGCTTTCTTGTCTCGCTCTATCGCTTTCTCGATTTCTCTATCGCTTTCTCGTCTCGCGCTATCGCTTTCTCGCTCTTCTCTATCGCTTTATCGCTTTATCGCTTCTTCTCTCTATCGCTTTCTCGTGATATCGCTTTATCGCTTTCTCGTGCTATCGCTCGTCTCGTATCGCTTTCTCGCTCGCGTTATCGCTTTCGTCTCGCGCCATCGCTTTCTCGCTGTTATCGCTTTTCGTCTCGTGATATCGCTTTCTCGTCCGAATTTTAAGGCGAGAAAGCGATGCCCTATCGCTTTCTCGTCTCGTGGAGCGGAATTTTCAAGATGTTAAGTTGAAATTTCAAGATAGTAACTCAAAATTTCAACATACTATTTAGAAATATCAAGATAATGATCTTGAATTTTCAACTTCTTATCTTAAAATTTGAAGGTCATTTTCTAGAAATTTCAGCTTTATTTTATCTTGAAATTTCAACTTAGTATATTGAAATTGCAAGAATAAATATGTGAAAACGCATGGCCCTAAAAGGCTTCCGTACACAACTGTATGACACACTCTATGAATAACAAGTGCGATTGACCCTTTAAACGTCGCATACCGCCGGGGACACACGGTCCTCTTAATCTCAGACTTAATCTTTGTTCGTGTATATTCTCACCGGAATCCCTCAAACATTGACATTCTGTCACAAAACAATGATTATCTAAATGTGCCGTAAAAAAATGTGATATCAATGATTGAGCATATTGTAACCTGTTGTTGTGATTTGTTACATACAAATATTTCTGAGTGCGGCGTAAAACTAAACTCACTGACTGTTACATACAACATTGGGAGAGGATATATCTTATATTCATTTCAATTGATAGTGTTTAAATAGACTTGTCACTTCCATACCTCTTGTGGTAGTCTCGTAGTTGCCCTCGGCTTCTGTGGTGGTCGCGGGCTGGGTGGAAGACTTTCGTTTGGCCCCTGAAACGGACATGTATGTACTTAGTGTAATTAAGTCACTTTTGAATGTTGAATATTGTGTTCCAGAACGGATGGAGACGGCACAGCACAGGTTAATGAATAAATAACTTTGTCTGTGAACGTGCTTCTCGAACACCTGGCTGTCCCTGTCTCTGCACTCCTTCCTCGTAACAGACAGTGAACTGTGTCAATATTTTACTGATAGTTTTTTAAACAACTTTTTTATTTTTAGGACAAACAATTCTGCAAAAACCTCACAGAGTGGGTATGATGTTTTGATTATGATCAGCGTTTCATTAAGTATGTTATGTTTATTAGTTTTCGAGTTAGATTGCAATTCATCGGTCCGCTTTTGAGCCAAACGGACTGTAAAGTGACCGATTCACCGCGTATGAAGACATTGAGCTCGTTGACCCTATTGTTTGTAAACAAACATTTCCAACAACGGCGATTTTTACCTTGGCAGCATCTTTGATGTTTTTGAAGTAAAACGCGAAAGGTTTCGAAGAAGAATGTCTTGACTCTAATCCCAGAAACTAATAATTGTTGATAACCACCCTACTATTCCCAATTTGGAAAAGACCTGACATGCCACGTTTTATGTGCGATATATGGACAGTGGGAGTGAGAGGACTGGGCATTACGGCCGGGACGGAAGCGGTCAGGTTAGGACCTGTGCGCCGCCTTGTGTTGTCGACGTCATGCCAGCTAGATCTAGACCCGGTTTGAATACTGTTGCATTTGCGCTGATGACGAATTTTCCAGCTTCGTTGTTTCTTCACTGGGATTAGGGACAAGAAATTATTGTTCAAACCATTCGCTTTTTACTTCAAAAACATCAAAGATGCTGCCGATGTAGAAACTGCCGATGTAGAAATTGCCGATGTCCGACATGTTTGTTTACAAACAAAAGAGTCAACGCGTTCATTGTATTCATACGCGGTGAATCAGTCACTTTCATTAGCGGTCTTAAACTGCGATTTAAGTACGGTTTTGATGAGCTCTCAGCCTATCAGAATCGAGTATCACACAATGTCGTGCTAGAATCAACCGTTACGATAAAGGACCGCAAAAGTGAAAACAGAGTAGCTTTATCTTCTAAGTCGAAGAATCTAATTAAACTAACGAGAAAACAAGCTATGTGAAACAAGTTTGTGAAATACTTACATCCAACCACCACTGCCTTGTACAATGCCGCTGTGAGGAGCACTGACGTTACACACGCGATGATCACAACATAGACAGGCACGCAAGAAGGGTTCGCTGTGAATACAATAAGCATTATCCACCCTGCCATGGGTCGTTATTGGACGATCAACAGCCATTGAAACCCTACGTCTCACTGCTCTTGTTCGCATGCTGATATCCCTGCCGTAAAGATCCGGGTAGGAATTTGTCCCGAGTTGCCAGGCTAAGTCCGCTAACGGGATCAGATGGTCAGGCTCGCTGACCTGGTTGACGCATGTCAGTATAAATTGATGCGCACGATGCCAATAACCGGATTGTCTGGCCCAGACGCGAATATTTACAGATCGCCGTTATATAGCTGGAATATTGCTGGGTTCGACGTTAAATAACAAAACAAACGAGTTTCTGTGACGCTGATAAAAATTAAACACATGTACAACATAAAAATATTTGAACTCCGATTCTATGGTTGTTTCACACAAAATGAAAACATGAGTGATCAATGAAGATATGTGAGAAAAGAGAAAAAAATATAATTCTTCAAACAGAGAAACGAGTTATTGGTAGATGAGGGCCAAATACGAACACGATACACACTGAGGTAAAACGTTCATGGTCAATAAAATGTTTGAGTTATCTTTGTAGTGAAGACTAAACACACAACATCGTAAATATATATGTGCAGAGACAGGCACCCAGGAACAGCATCATTGAAGTTGACTTACAGATGGTGTCGCCACACAGAAGGTCACACGAAACTAAGGAGGGAAACAGCAAGAATAACAATCCTCTAACACTAGTGAGTTGTTGTACGGGGTGTTGAGTCTTGGCAGGCCACAGCCAGGGCGATACTTTGTGTGGTCGTTATTTGTAACCTGTGGGTTGTCACAGGTTCCTCCACTGTGAACACGACCACACCCTCACGGGTTGTGTTGAGCATGGGGTATTCAGATATTGGTCTTGGTAATTCAAAATTAGATGGTTTTACAAAGCAGGTATGAATCGTTGTGTTTGCAACGGTCTCTCTGTTGCAAACCAAATATATTCAACACGTTACACACACATACACGCGCACACGCCCGTACATGCATGTGTCTGTCAGAAATCATAGAGAATAGTATATTAACCGCTGGCGTTTAATACTCTTTAGCCCACCCCCAAAAACAAAAATTCCCAAACCAAAACATCTGTATGCTAAACATAATGTCTATATGAAGGAATGTACCTGTATCCGTGGTTACAATGGCGGAGGTGTAGATGCTGGTGCCATATTCATTCTTTGCATTAATCCGAATTTCGTAGAATGTTCCGGGTTCGAGGTCATCAATGTCCAGCTGGAGGGTATCGTCCTCGGTTGGCCTTGTTGGATGGGTGGTCCACTGTCCGCCAGGTTGTCTGTATTGTATGTTGAACATTTGTTTGGCGCCACCGTTGAAACCTTTCTCCCATGTCAGGGTGACTGAACGGGGACTGATGTTTACTGCCTTCAGATTGCTTGGTAGGTGCGGCCGGGCTGTGAAACACGGGGGATATGATGGATAATGCTTTACTGTATGTCTGAACAGAGTCATCACACTTGATTAAATACTGATATATCCCCTTCTCTATATGATGACAAGTGTATGCTTATATCCACTTTTGGATGAAAATGCATTTTCTAACGAAATATCGACGTGGTGTGGTAGACTGTTAAAATTGAAGCTAATCACTTGTGACCTATTACCTATCTAACTATCGTCACATTTGATTAATCTCAAGCTGCATGATGATGTAAGATAGTGAGTTTGTCTTTACACCGCTTCTAGCAATATTCGTGCAAAAATCACGAAGGAGAGACACCAGAAATGGAAATCGAACCAGGTCTTCGGCGTGACAAGCGAACGCTTTCACCTCTAGGCTACGGCACCGTCTGCCGCATGATGCTTTGCTGTCAAGCAATGTTCCATTTTCAACCAAATATCAGCTACATTGAGACTTTTCTCCATTTTGTACTACACACGTTTCACGAACATGTTCCAATCAAATACTCAGTTATAGGCACGTTTCACTCTGACATAGGAAAAAGTGATGTTTTAAGAAAAATCACTAACATTTAGAAACCAGAGGTATCTCCAGATCCAGGTAGCCTTCTGTATTGGTCACGCTGACAGTGTAATTAATATAGTCCTCTTCTTTGACATCAAATATGGTCACACTTCCTGTTACAAGGACACCCTCAGTGGTGACCGCAGTAGTACTGATTGGTCTTGTATTTGACCTTCTCCGCCATGTGAAGGTTGGCTGCGGGAAGGCTATGACTGTCAAACTAAGAGTGACATTTTCGTGCAGACCCGACGTGAACACCAGTGTTTCAGATGAAAATGAATATCGTCTTGGAACACCTGAATAAACAATACAGACTGACATAAAATATATACATGGAACAATGGACCTAATCCAACAGGACCAGTATTTGCTTTCCACAGTTATGAAAACAAACAAAACGTTATCGTTGAAAACATCTTTCTAAATTCACGAAAAAATACCATCGGCAAAGTAGTCTCTAAACATTTTTTAAAGATTATTTTTTATTCATTCCCATAGTTACATAGATACAAACAAATTATTGTAACAGAAGTGAGTGATTAAGTATGGTTTAACGCCGTTTTTATCATGGACACCAGAGACATGTCCACACAAGGTATGTGGGGAATAGAACCCGGGTCAACCACTCAACCACTGGGCTACTCTGCCGCCTCAGAAACAGAAACAATATACCAGTAAAATACGTTGACACATACCGGCTTCTGTAGGATGGTTGAACATAGTCAATGACATTGTTAGTGTTATCCCTCCCCCCCCGAGTGGAGGACCAGGCAATCTAATGTCGCCATAAACATTTACTGGATTAGTTTAAAGTAAAAACGATTATATATTTTGAATTAACCAGCCATCCGTCTGAGCCCATGCCCCAAGGTGAAAAAATCAGACAGGAACAGTATTATTGAACCTGGCCTACAGATGGTGTCGCAACTGAGAAGGTCACGTAAAACTTACGAAACATCAGACTGGCAAGAATAACCACCCCTAAAACTAGTCAGTAGTGGTCGGGGTATTGAATCTTGGCCACAGCCAGGGCGACACTTCGTGTGGTCGTTATTTGTAACCTGTGAATTGTCACGGGTTCCCCTACTGTGAAATGACCACATCTCTCACTGGTTGTGTTGAGCATGGGGTATTCAGATTTTGGTTTCAGTAATTCAAAATTAGAGGGTTTTATTTTACAACAACAGGCTTGAGTCGTTGTGTTTGAAAAGGACTCTGTGTATCTATACTATAACATTCATATGTACCTATACTGTGTTCAGTTCATTTGACCCATGTATTTGATGTACAATACAAAAAGAACAGTGGAGACAGAACCCTTCTTGGATGTTACTTACACCTGACTTGTAACGGGACAGTCTGTGAAGCTTCTCCGATCAAGTTCCTAGCAGCGCAGATGTAATTTCCCCCTTCCAGGCAGGACACATGTAGCAGCATCGTGGTGAGAGTCTGACGGTCAGGGTTGCTGGTCCTGCTACTTCCTATACTGGACGTCGTGTTGTTGATCTCAATGGATGAACCCGGGTTACTTGTGACGTCACACTGCAGTGTCACGTTGTCGTGTTCCCTGACCGTCGCGTTTCCGGCCCCAGATGTGAAACCAAAACGTTCTACTCGAGGCGCATCTAAAACACCACCGTATAATTATGGGTAACGTCGTCATTGATTATCATTGATGTACAGTACTCAAATACTAGTTTGTTTGAAGAAAACGATTGTGGAAAACCTAGCAGAATTATGTTTTACATAAATCAGAAGCTATAACCTTACTTTTTCACATATGGATCCGCTTTTCTCACGCCCTGTTCCCCTTCATATGGTGTATATAACAATAGACAGCGCTAAGCAATGTCGTGTCGAACTTACAGGTCTGAAAGGGGGCATTGCGTATTTACTACCTTATATCTGTTATCATTGTTGTGTAAGGGGGCATTGTGTATTTACTACCTTATAACTGTTATCATTGTTGTGTAAGGGGGCATTGTGTATTTACTACCTTATAACTGTTATCATTGTTGTGTAAGGGGACATTGTGTATTTACTACCTTATATCTGTTATCATTGTTGTGTAAGGGGGCATTGTGTATTTACTACCTTATATCTGTTATCATTGTTGTGTAAGGGGGCATTGTGTATTTACTACCTTATATCTGTTATCATTGTTGTGTAAGGGGCATTGTGTATTTACTACCCTTATAACTGTTATCATTGTTGTGTAAGGGGGCATTGTGTATTTACTACCTTATATCTGTTATCATTGTTGTGTAAGGGGCATTGTGTATTTACTACCTTATATCTGTTATCATTGTTGTGTAAGGGGCATTGTGTATTTACTACCTTATATCTGTTATCATTGTTGTGTAAGGGGCATTGTGTATTTACTACCTTATATCTGTTATCATTGTTGTGTAAGGGGCATTGTGTATTTACTACCTTATAACTGTTATCATTGTTGTGTAAGGGGGCATTGTATTTACTACCTTATAATCTGTTATCATTGTTGTGTAAGGGGCATTGTGTATTTACTACCTTATATCTGTTATCATTGTTGTGTAAGGGGCATTGTGTATTTACTACCTTATATCTGTTATCATTGTTGTGTAAGGGGCATTGTGTATTTACTACCTTATATCTGTTATCATTGTTGTGTAGGGGCATTGTGTATTTACTACCTTACATCTGTTATCATTGTTGTGTAGGGGCATTGTGTATTTACTACCTTATATCTGTTATCATTGTTGTGTAGGGGGCATTGTGTATTTACTACCTTATATCTGTTATCATTGTTGTGTAAGGGGGCATTGTGTATTTACTACCTTATATCTGTTATCATTGTTGTGTAAGGGGCATTGTGTATTTACTACCTTATATCTGTTATCATTGTTGTGTAAGGGGGCATTGTGTATTTACTACCTTATATCTGTTATCATTGTTGTGTAAGGGGGCATTGTGTATTTACTACCTTATATCTGTTATCATTGTTGTGTAGGGGGCATTGTGTATTTACTCACCTTATAATCTGTTATCATTGTTGTGTAAGGGGCATTGTGTATTTACTACCTTATATCTGTTATCATTGTTGTGTAAGGGGGCATTGTGTATTTACTACCTTATATCTGTTATCATTGTTGTGTAAGGGGGCATTGTGTATTTACTACCTTATATCTGTTATCATTGTTGTGTAAGGGGGCATTGTGTATTTACTACCTTATATCTGTTATCATTGTTGTGTAAGGGGGCATTGTGTATTTACTACCTTATATCTGTTATCATTGTTGTGTAAGGGGGCATTGTGTATTTACTACCTTATATCTGTTATCATTGTTGTGTAAGGGGCATTGTGTATTTACTACCTTATATCTGTTATCATTGTTGTGTAAGGGGGCATTGTGTATTTACTACCTTATATCTGTTATCATTGTTGTGTAAGGGGGCATTGTGTATTTACTACCTTATATCTGTTATCATTGTTGTGTAAGGGGGCATTGTGTATTTACTACCTTATATCTGTTATCATTGTTGTGTAAGGGGGCATTGTGTATTTACTACCTTATATATGTTATCATTGTTGTGTAAGGGGGCATTGTGTATTTACTACCTTATATCTGTTATCATTGTTGTGTAAGGGGGCATTGTGTATTTACTACCTTATATCTGTTATCATTGTTGTGTAAGGGGGCATTGTGTATTTACTACCTTATATCTGTTATCATTGTTGTGTAAGGGGCATTGTGTATTTACTACCTTATATCTGTTATCATTGTTGTGTAAGGGGGGCATTGTGTATTTACTACCTTATATCTGTTATCATTGTTGTGTAAGGGGCATTGTGTATTTACTACCTTATATCTGTTATCATTGTTGTGTAAGGGGGCATTGTGTATTTACTACCTTATATCTGTTATCATTGTTGTGTAAGGGGGCATTGTGTATTTACTACCTTATATCTGTTATCATTGTTGTGTAAGGGGGCATTGTGTATTTACTACCTTATATCTGTTATCATTGTTGTGTTATCATTTGTATTTACTACCTTATAACTGTTATCATTGTTTGTGTGCATTGTGTATTTACTACCTTATATCTGTTATCATTGTTGTGTAAGGGGCATTGTGTATATTTACTACCTTATATCTGTTATCATTGTTGTGTAAGGGGGCATTGTGTATTTACTACCTTATATCTGTTATCATTGTTGTGTGGGGCATTGTGTATTTACTTCACCTTATATCTGTTATCATTGTTGTGTAAGGGGGCATTGTGTATTTACTACCTTATATCTGTTATCATTGTGTGTTTACTAGGGGCTGTTATCATTGTTGTGTATTTACTATTGTGTATTTACTACCTTATATCTGTTATCATTGTTGTGTAAGGGGCATTGTGTATTTACTACCTTATATCTGTTATCATTGTTGTGTAAGGGGGCATTGTGTATTTACACCTTATATCTGTTATCATTGTTGTGTAAGGGGGCATTGTGTATTTACTACCTTATATCTGTTATCATTGTTGTGTAAGGGGCATTGTGTATTTACTACCTTATATCTGTTATCATTGTTGTGTAAGGGGCATTGTGTATTTACCACCTTATATCTGTTATCATTGTGTAAGGGGGCATTGTGTATTTACTACCTTATATCTGTTATCATTGTTGTGTAAGGGGGCATTGTGTATTTACTGCCTTATATCTGTTATCATTGTTGTGTAAGGGGGCATTGTGTATTTACTACCTTATATCTGTTATCATTGTTGTGTATTGTGGGGGCATTGTGTATTTACTACCTTATATCTGTTATCATTGTTGTGTAAGGGGGCATTGTGTATTTACTACCTTATATCTGTTATCATTGTTGTGTAAGGGGGCATTGTGTATTTACTACCTTATATCTGTTATCATTGTTGTGTAAGGGGGCATTGTGTATTTACTGCCTTATATCTGTTATCATTGTATTTACTACCTTATATCTGTTATCATTGTTGTGTAAGGGGCATTGTGTATTTACTACCTTTATATCTGTTATCATTGTTGTGTAAGGGGCATTGTGTATTTACTACCTTATATCTGTTATCATTGTTGTGTAAGGGGGCATTGTGTATTTACTACCTTATATCTGTTATCATTGTTGTGTAAGGGGGCATTGTGTATTTACTACCTTATAACTGTTATCATTGTTGTGTAAGGGGGCATTGTGTATTTACTACCTTATATCTGTTATCATTGTTGTGTAAGGGGGCATTGTGTATTTACTACCTTATAACTGTTATCATTGTTGTGTGTAAGGGGCATTGTGTATTTACTACCTTATATCTGTTATCATTGTTGTGTAAGGGGGCATTGTGTATTTACTACCTTATATCTGTTATCATTGTTGTGTAAGGGGCATTGTGTATTTACTACCTTATATCTGTTATCATTGTTGTGTAAGGGGGCATTGTGTATTTACTACCTTATATCTGTTATCATTGTTGTGTAAGGGGGCATTGTGTATTTACTACCTTATATCTGTTATCATTGTTGTGTAAGGGGGCATTGTGTATTTACTACCTTATATCTGTTATCATTGTTGTGTAAGGGGGCATTGTGTATTTACTACCTTATATCTGTTATCATTGTTGTGTAAGGGGGCATTGTGTATTTACTACCTTATATCTGTTATCATTGTTGTGTAAGGGGCATTGTGTATTTACTACCTTATATCTGTTATCATTGTTGTGTAAGGGGGCATTGTGTATTTACTACCTTATATCTGTTATCATTGTTGTGTAAGGGGGCATTGTGTATTTACTACCTTATATCTGTTATCATTGTTGTGTAAGGGGCATTGTGTATTTACTACCTTATATCTGTTATCATTGTTGTGTAAGGGGGCATTGTGTATTTACTACCTTATATCTGTTATCATTGTTGTGTAAGGGGGCATTGTGTATTTACTACCTTATATCTGTTATCATTGTTGTGTAAGGGGGCATTGTGTATTTACTACCTTATATCTGTTATCATTGTTGTGTAAGGGGCATTGTGTATTTACTACCTTATATCTGTTATCATTGTTGTGTAAGGGGCATTGTGTATTTACTACCTTATATCTGTTATCATTGTTGTGTAAGGGGGCATTGTGTATTTACTACCTTATATCTGTTATCATTGTTGTGTGTAAGGGGCATTGTGTATTTACTAACCCTTATATCTGTTTCATCATTGTTGTGTAAGGGGGCATTGTGTATTTACTACCTTATATCTGTTATCATTGTTGTGTAAGGGGGCATTGTGTATTTACTACCTTATATCTGTTATCATTGTTGTGTAGGGGGCATTGTGTATTTACTACCTTATATCTGTTATCATTGTTGTGTAAGGGGGCATTGTGTATTTACTACCTTATATCTGTTATCATTGTTGTGTAGGGGGCATTGTGTATTTACTACCTTATATCTGTTATCATTGTTGTGTAAGGGGCATTGTGTATTTACTACCTTATATCTGTTATCATTGTTGTGTAAGGGGGCATTGTGTATTTACTGCCTTATATCTGTTATCATTGTTGTGTAAGGGGGCATTGTGTATTTACTACCTTATATCTGTTATCATTGTTGTGTAAGGGGCATTGTGTATTTTACTACC